AATTCTAATAACCAGCTCTTTAAATAAGATAAATGTCCATTTTAGAAGAAGGCTTTGGTCATTTTTAATATATATTTGAATTTCTTGAAGTTGTTGATCCCCTCTTTTTTAATAAACTTTTAAGACTGACATGACAAGGTGAATGTATACCTTAACTGAGATTGTTAAGGATTGTCGTCTTTTGATTATTCTACACCAACTGAGGGACTACATGATCTTACCAAGACACTGGGAGTGTCTCAAAGATGGTCAAGATCTTTTCAAAATCGTCAACCTTTCTGCAGAGATCATGAAGCTCTGGGTAGAAAGGCCCTGGCTTAGATCTTTAAGGTTTCTCTAAAAATCTGGACCTTACCAGAAACCATTTAGTAATGGCTCTTGTTTTGGAGAGAATAGCAAAAGAGCAAGCAACACTTTCTTATCCCTACATAGCTCCACATTTAGTATGATTGATAAACAGCTAACATATTAAGGAAACTGCATGTCATCTTACTGATGAGTTGGTTTCAAGGTTGTTACTGACTTTGTGTTTACAGGCTCCTTTTATTTTCAAACTAGTCAGGCAAACCTGGCTAATCATTCATGCAGTAGCCCCTTAAAACTGCAGAAGAAGAACTGTTATGGAATAGGTTCATGAATATATCAAGGCTACTTTGCAGGCTTGTTTCAAGAATGAGTATTACCAATATTTGAATTAAGATTCTTGGCCAACACAGCCTGTACAGGGGTTCATATTCCTAGGAGAATAACTTAATTAGCCCAAGGCCTACATACTGTGCTTAGCAAGCTGTTGACTGACATTTGGTTGAAGTATGATCACTTCATATTGTTTGTTTGACTGTTCCAGTTGTTTCTGTGTCCTCCCTTCCCCAGAGGAAGGGAGAGACTTTCCTTGAGCCCCCAGGGATATTTTGTTTCCTCATTAAAGATGCCCAACCATTATATTCCCTGTCTTGTTTGTTTGTTGTGTTGTGCAAGATTGGTGTGGCAGGGGATAACTTTTATTAGATTGGGAGCATCATTGAGGATTTGGACTCAGTGCAGCTTCACTCAGACCAACAGGGAGTGTGGGAGTCAATAATTTGAACGTAAGTTGAGTCTCCAAACACTGATGCAGGGTTTGTCTCTTACAGGAATAAATGGCACTGCTTGGTTTCTTGTTGTTTGGCAAGATGCTGTCCATGAGATGGTGGTTAGGTACATCCTTCATTATCATGGGCTTGATTCTGATTCACTTTAACAGTGCACCCTACGCTGAAGATCAAGGTCATGACAAGGAACAGTGAATGGGGCTGAAAAAGGCAATTTGTTAACTTGTGAAAGTGGACTGACAATTCCATACAGCTTTAACTGTGGTTATAGTGGAAAGGGGGGATTGTCTGTCAAGATATCGATAATGTTTCAGGAAACAGCTTAAAATTTTAAATTGGATGGACTTCTATCTGGTGACTCTTGGTCCTTTATATTTGAACTGGAGTTGGGAGTATTGGTTCATTGTGTCCTGCAGAAAACAAGACAACTTTGAAGAAAAAAGTTTTGGATAATAGACAAGAAAAAAAAAAAAACATCCTCAATTCTCTTTTGACACTACTAAATAAATATAGTGTATGACTGGCTAACAGAGTACTTAAATGGGCCAGGAATAAACCACTTGTTAGTGGCAATGAGTAAAAGTTGGCCTCTTTGAAGTTTATCAGTTGGTTCTGTGGACATATCTTAAATGTTGACTATAGGTAGATGTTGCACCTCCTGTTGCAATGTCAATCTACCAAAGGGACGTACCATGTGTTTAAATAAAAACTTAATCAGTGGCTTGTTCTTGAATTCTCCATACCACTCACAGGTTCTAAGCAGAGGAAATGAACTGCATGATAAAACTGATCAGTGAAAATGCTAACAGTTCTTCCATTACAAAAACAGCTGAAGTCTGTTTTGGTCAAAAAGAGAGGCAGCTCAAACTTCTTTAAAAGTATTTCAACATATTTTATCGTTGGCAGTGCCCTTGGGCAATAAGAAGCGAATCTTGTTTTTTGATTGGCTACCCAAGTGGGCAAGATGGGTCCATCTTGCCTGTTCAGAATTGCCCACTACAATCCTGCTCTTAAAAAAAAATTTAATTTAATTTTATAATTTGTAATTCTTGGACTATGTCAGCAATTCAGACACAAAAAGTGGCAGAAGACAGTCAAGACAAAGGAAACATGAATGACTCCTGTGATTTTATTGTGCTATAAAAACAGTTGGCTTTCTTTCCTGCCTCTCAAAGTAAAGAAGTCATTCTTGATTCTCAAAAAGTGAATCTTTTTGCAATATAATAAACCCTTTTTATGTAGCTCAACTTTGTCTCAGTCCATTAAAATGCGAAAAAAAGATTGAGGCTAACGTCTAACTCTCTTGACTGCACAAGCTTGGATAATAACGCATATATATTGTGTCAAAAGGATTTAATCTAAAATGTAAAGATTTTCAGTGAAAGCCAAGGATTGTGATATAAATTAAGAAATACTTTTTATGAAGTCATTACTGTTTTTATAAGTGTGCTTTTTCTTTTTGCAATGCATTCTTTCAGACTATGAATTATCTAATATTTCCCCCTCTGATTCGTAAACATTTTCCATCTGAGTTCCACCCCTGTCCATGTTTAAATTCATTGTATTATCTATCTTTGCAGGCATATTTCTTTTTGTCAGGCATATTTCTATCTTTACTCGTAAGATATTTTTGCTGTAACTTAAAATATCTATCAGACTTAAGCATACTGTGTAAAGGTAGACATGTACAGTATAAGTCTTTCACACATTCATTACTTTCAAATTAAATGTAGGTATGTTTTGACCCAAATTTACTTAATTTTTTGTTAAGAAAGTGCATTTATGTCACCATCAGACACCTCGCATCACTGTCATAAGTTCTACCATGTTTATCTCTAACCTTACTTGATTGTTTTTTGCTATTATGTGTATGATAATCTCTGCCACCATCTGATTCCTCCCTGTCAGAGAGAACACATGTATTTCTAAATTTGCTTGATCTTTTGATGCAATGAATTGAATAATCATTCTTGTCACTACCACATTCCTCATCACTCTCATCAGTAAAGACACATTTATATCTTTTATGTTTGTTGATAAAGCAAAATACACCTTAATGTCACCCTCAGACACCTCATCACCATTATAAGTTCTGACACGTTTACATTTAACTTTACTTGATTGTTTCTGGCTATTATGTGTACGATTATTTCTGTCACTTTCTGATTCCTCACTGTCAGAGAAAAGACATTTATTTCTAAATTTGCTTGATTTTTTGATGCAATCGAGTAATCATTCTCATCAGAAGCAGATTCCTCATCACTGTCATGAATGAGGACATTTATATCTTGATTCACTTGACTTTTTGTTGCACAAATTTGCAAAATCATCATTGTCATTATCATTATCACTATGGTTATTAGGATGATTGTACCTTTGGTGCAGTTTGTCACCAGGTTTTTTCTGTTATCCTGTTCTGTGACCATTCCAAATTTTGGCGAACTTTCTTGCGTCAAAAAGGTTTCCCCACCGCACCATTCTTTTGTCTCCTTTCTGATAGCTACATCCAACTCAACATGATGTCTATTTGGATTTTCTTCAGTGTCAGTAACTTTATCGGTTGCAACAGCGTCAGCAAGAGTCCCATTTTTACAGCTCTTGCTACAATTCATTTTTTTTTTTACTCGTGGGGCTCTTTTTCAGTTTCTGTTTTTCGGATACAAGATGATCGCGTGACCCTTTTCCGCTTGATAGCTCTATGTCACGCAAACATCCGTATCACCTACATCCGCCACTTCTGTTGCCACCCTGGTTGTCTCTGTTTTCTCAACAACAACAAACGGTCGGTTTCTCTAAGAACGAATCGTGTATTACCGAATATTGTTCTCTATCGTGGACATTAATTGTCCGAAGCTCATTTTCCACGACCTGGGGTGAAAAAGTCAGAGTCGACATCTATCTAAATAGAGCAATTTCCATTCCCTTGTAGCTCTTTTTTAGCCTTTTGCTTTTCCTCGGTTCTCCAGGGTTCTTTTGGAAAATAAGTAGTTCTTAGTCTCATTTTCAAAATTTCCCATTTGAAACTTTCCTTAATTTCGTTTTCGTTCCTGGTGTTGATTGCTTCTCTTTACTTTCAGACTGCCGGGTGATAGTCTTAGTTAAAGTTTAGGGTAAGTTCGCAAATCTCTTGACAAGCGCCTCAAACTATGGTCTGGGTCAATTTGATCCGTTATTCGAATTAGCTCCACCGTAAAACATTTTCCTTCGATAGCATTATATTTCACATCTGGGATTTTCCTAATTTCTTTTAATAGTTCGACTTTCTCGGGCCCTCATATTTATGACGACTTTTCAAGAGCTGTTCCTGTCTGTTTTACAATCGTATTAATTTCTTCTGGATCCGGTACAATGCTTCGTAAAGTTTCGATGTCTTTCCAGAGGAATACTTTTTTAAAAATGTAAATGTAAAAAAAATTCCTCCATTGAAGTACTCTCCCAGAAGTAAATATTCGAAGGGTTTCCGTTACTTCTTTGGAGAGCACTTGTATTGGATCCAGTAAATGAGAAATGAATCTTCCATAAATCGTCTCCTCCGCTTGCTTCGTTGGTCATCTGGAGAGCAACATCACAATATTCAATTTTTCATGCGTATGACGAGTTTCCCTCTGCGTTGGTCAAGAGACACAAGGAATACTTAGGCTGCTGAATGGCTATTCTCTATTTCTCAAAAACACCAGTTTTCCTCCTTGATATTGCGTGACATGCGTGACAACAACAACGGGCTCCTACGCTGATTCAAAATTTCCACCTTGTTGCCTTTGTTAGTTGACCGTTATAATTTTCGCTGCTCAAATTGAGCGGCGAATATTTTCCTCAGAAATTTTGTGACGATTTCCAGGAAAGAGGATCCGATTCGGGGAGAACAAAGTTAAAATAACCTCACGGAGCCTTCATTATTTATGGCGGAGGGAGGGCTCAGTATTGAAATAGTTGGGAATACTGTAGGGGGGTCAAAAGCTCTTTCTTGTTACATCTCATCTACAAATGTGGGTTTGAGTTTGTAGAACGTTTCTACTACCCGCCATACAAGATATAGGGAACAGTAGCTAACTTTGCATAGACTGGAAAGCTATTCTTCTTCAAGCTATAATAATGTTTATTTCAAAAACGATATTACAAGATTGCAGTGAAGGCGAGCTGAGTGTAATATTTACAAAAGTATTAACAATAAAAAAGCTAACAAAAAGGATGACAATGATGAGATGTTTTAAGTTCTAAGCTATTTACAATTAAATTATATAGACTAGCCATGAGTTTTTGGCACGATAGGGTTAGGGTTTGCAAGCTATGATTGTTTTATTTTATTTTTATTTTTACTAGCTTCGCCGACAGGCAGGGACACCGCAACAGCTTGCGGCAATTAATGCGGGCCCTGTAAACTCACCGATCCGAGTCCAGGGGAGGACATCCATCACACAGTAATCTCGTGCGTGGGAAATTAACGTCTCCTGCCCCTAACCTTGCAGGAGACGGGACCTCCATTGATTCATCCCGAATAAATGGAAGCTAAATTCTTACACTTCTTTCGTGCTTAGCAACCTCCCGCGTGCATCCATAACTCAATAGTGTACGCTGTGGTGTTTACCATTTGTTAAGCATCTTTAGATTTTAAACTCTAGAACTGCATTGTTAAGGTATTTTTGCAATAAAATGAAATATTTGAAAGATATTTTTCACTTCTTTTAACCTAGCTGCCTTGATAGTCCTAGGGGAGGAGGGGCTAGCTATTTTTGCAATTACAACTGGAGGGGTCCTGACAATTTTAATTCTTGTAGAGCAGGATCAGGATATTTGTTTAGTCTCACTCAAAATCTTGCCATCCCACCCCCCCTAGCCTCTAGCTTGTCACGTAGCTTCGCATGTGAGCATCTATAGATTAGTTAACCTACTAACGGAGAGAGATTGGGTCGCACCCACTTTCTTGCGTTTAAGCACTCAAGGACCCTTGAGGGTTTCGATGAAGTTGATCATCAGATGACGAATGGACAAAACAGAACCATTAATCGATTTTTACCGTGATTAGTCAGTAATTCAATTGTGAAGTTTCTTCTGTTCCTTTTGGCGGCAAAAACTTCACGTGTTATGGAACATTCGTCGTGTTGTTATAAATGCTGTTACAACTCTCTTATTCAAGGGAACCCTTTTTGGTACAAGGAAAAGTGATTGCCTAAAAGAAAACTCAGGACAAAGAGGGGGACATCACACTAATCCCTTTATGAGAACTATTTATTGCATCATAAATGAAACTGCGTTATCAAGAAAAAATATATATCTCATTGGACGTTTTGTTGTGTAGTATCACTGAGTATTTTTACGAGTTGTACCGTAGGGCGAGTCAAAATACAAATAACGAGTAAAAATACTCAGCGATACTACACAGCAAAACGTCTAATAAGTTATTTATTATCCAACACGCCAAATTTCGCGGATATTTATTTACGAGGAGTGCGTGACAGAAGTATGCGAAGCGGAACGGAAGTGGTGCGTTGTCGTGTTACTGTTTCTATTTTCTACAATAAATGAAGAAATATCCTAGTTGTCTAGCTGTTTTTCTTCGTTTGATTCATTTAATAAACTTGGATATATTTTTGCCAGCCATTCCGCCTCTTCGTCGTCAGAAATATGATTCAAATTGTGCGCCATTTTTATTTTCGTAACTTCAATCCAATTCTATGCTTGCGCGATGCGAGAAAACCTGTCCAACCGGTTCTCTGGAGTACAAATACCGCGTGATACTTGTTCCCGTCTATGGCGTTATTTGTACTCTACGGAGTGTAGTTGGATAATAAATATATATACTCTTTCTGAAAAAAATTGCTTATTTGAGGCAATCATGTCAATCTCCTACTGAGTAGGCTATTTGGCTATTCATTTTTCTTGTTCATAAAAATGTACGAGTTATCTCATGAAAAGTTTGAATTTCTTTATTTACCATCTATGATTGGTTTTGTGTACCATCTTTCATTAATTTTGAAATTCAAATAAGTTTTCTTAAAAATTATTTCACTGAAAGTTAGTTGCTTGGCGAACAAAAGGACATTCAAATTTTGTTCATCGACTATTCTATTCCGTTTCAAGGAGAATCACGATACAGATGTTTTGCTAAAAATTTGAGGATAAACCTTGAGAACTTGTGATAAACCCTCTTACCAATCCTTCTTTCATTCCATTAAGGTCGTTTTCTAAAGTTGGTTGTAATGTTTTTTCTGATGTGGTCTATTCGCACCGATGTTCTTTTCACTCTTTACTTTAATAGGGAAAGATGTTCATCATTCAGCTTGCTTCATTTATGAGGTTTTTCATTTTTATTGTCGAGGAGTCCATCGTAGTTTTCATTTGTATTTTTTAAGTCTTGCATATTGCATTTGGAACCCTCTGGTAAGTTATTTTGTGTCCTCAATAGTTTTGCTGGCCACTTCCTTGACCTTCAGAAATGGCGTCTCGGCTAAATTCGTACACAAACCAGTTGGGATATAAACGTACTTGGGATGTTTAGTCGTTTTCTTCAAGCGCACACAACGTGCAGCCCTCGCTGCCAACGGGGATGGTTTTCCCTCTTCGCACAATGCACCCGATGTAGAATGCGTGGTCTTTCTCGCATAATTTCCACATACCTCTTTGGTAACCAGGAAAATTTGTGAAGTCTGGAGCTTCTTTCGGCAGTGGTGCAAGTTTCACCTCTTTTCTAAGCAAATTGACGATTGTTTCCAGCCAGTCAATATCTAGAGTGTCATCGTTCCCTTGGAGAAATTTCTTAAGCCGTACGTGTGCCAGCCACAATCGCTCTACACCACTGCTTGATAAGGAAATCTGAGGCATCAGAGTAATGACCTGGGCCTGTAAAGCTTGAGAAAATAGGAAGAACTTTTTGGTCTGCTCGTGAATCTGACTTAATGTTTCCAAATCAAGCTCTGGGTTTTCAAGATCCTGTTCAATGTTTTTCAAGGCATCTTTGATTCCATTCGATTGTTCGCTTACCTCCCGGCATGCCTGGATGTTTTCCAGGACGGTTTCTGTCTTCCTCACTTGTTGAAGGATCATCAAATGATTTTTAAACGTACATTTGAAAACAATAGTGCGATTTCTACGCGGCAAATTGAAAGGATTCCACTTCCACGGGATAGAACGTGCACAGGCAAAGTCTGTTTGTCCAAACTTCTTTCTGTATCTCACACCATGCTTCTGAGTTGCATCGATGTCCTTTGCTAAAAGAATGACAGCGTTGTTAACCTCTGCTTCAAGTTTTTGTATTTGTGTCTTCACGTTTTCAACGTTTTTCAGAGTCCTTCTGACAATATTTCCGTAACGATAGCTGAATGTTATCGACCTTGAGCACTTGGGGCATCGTAGAAGTTGTAGATCGTCACCCAGTTTACGCACCATCCACGCATCCATCGCTTCAACACTCATGATGTGACCACATTCAAGAAGTTGAAGACACCTCACGTCTTCCGTTTTAGCATAACCTCCAGCAGCTAATGTGGAGGAGAGCTTTTTGGCATCACATATGGCACACAGCTTTGGACAGTTTTCCCCACACAAGCCAATACATGGGTGCTGACAAGGGAGCTTCTTGGGACAGGGAGCATTACATGGCGGGCGGTCGCATTCTTCTCCACAAAGATTCTTGCACTGATAATGTGGACAACTCCATGTGCACAATTCAGTGCAAGAATCACAAAGCTGTGAACAAGGCTTTTTACATTTTCCATGGGGACAACTTTTGGCACAACTCTGGTTACAGGGAGGACAAGGCTCGCCACAAACACCTTTGCAACGATGTAAACAAATAAGTAATCGCCCGCATTGATGTTGACAAAATTCATGTGAACCTCTCTCCTGACAATCGTAACATGTTCCCGAACAATAGTGACCGCATGGCAACTTTGCTTTACATTCAGCTGGGCACTGCACTTCATGGATAGACTGCCGGCAAAGCATCTCGATATTATGGCCACAAGACAGGACTTTCTTCACAACCTCATCACAAGGATAATTAGAGCAGTCTTTTCCACAAACTCCTTTACAGCGATGTTTGCACGAACTCTTCTGTCGCTGACAAGGAGCGGTGCAAGTAGCAGTTCTTCGTTCAAAACATCGAACATTGTCCATTTTGTGACCACAGGGAAATTTATCTTCAATTCTCTGCATACATCTCATATTTTCACACTCCTCGCTACAAAGGCCCGGACACAGATGACCACAACCAAGTTTTCTGCTGCATTTCTCCGCGCATTTGACATCGTTGGGATTGTCACTGCACTTCATTTGGAGAGAGTGGCCTCCTGCGCAGTTGAGCTGTTTGAACATTTTCTTGCGGCATTTGTACTGACTACATTTCTCTGAACATTTTCCAGGACATACGTGACCACAGGGTAACTTCCGCTTGCACTTATATGTACAAACGACTTGGGACACATTCTCAGAGCAGAGGCAGCTGACTTTATGGACTCCACAGGCTAAATCCTTCTGAACTTCCACAGCGCATTTGGAAGAAGCGCAATCATCACCGCATTTCTTCTGACAACGGTGTCCACACGGAAGAGAGCGTTCACAACGGGCATTACAGAAAATATTTCCGTTTTGTCCTTCAGAGCACCTCACCTTCTTTTCATGACCACAGGGCAATTTCATAGGAATCTTTTCGTTACATTCATCTTTTTCCAATCCATTTCTCATTTTAGAACATGTTGTGTGCTTCTTGTGTCCACAGGAAAGGGTAAGTTGAACTTCTTCTTCACACATAAGTAAATGATCACTTGGAGCATCACAGAGGTTTCCTTCTTGTCGTTCAGAGCACCTTAACTGCTTTTCATGACCACAAGGCAATTTCATCGTTACCATTTCGTTACATTCATCCTTTGTCAATTTAGTTTTCATTTTCGAGCACGTTGTCAGCTGCTCATGTCCACAGGAAAGGGTAAGTTGAACTTCTTTTTGACAGGAGTATTCCTCTGGATTGAAATAGCATGGGAGAATTGTTTCGTGTCCCCATAGTAGTTTTCTTGTCGTTTTAACCACGCAGGAAACATTTTGCAAATCCTTTTTCAAAGAGAAGCAAACGAGAGACTTCTTATGTCCACATGATAGTTCAACATCAACTTTCTTCTTGCATTTGCAACCATCAGCTTCTTTGTGACAAGGAAGAGTAAGTTTGTGTTTACAAGGGAGCTCTTTCTCTACTTTCACGTTGCACAATGGTTTTTTTTCTGCTCCCTGCGCAACACAGCACTCGCAGTACATTTTGTGACCACAAGGCAAGTCAATTTCAATTCTTTCCGTGCATTTATGCTTTGAGGGATTTTTGTGGCAAGGTAAATCCACCATGTGACCGCACGGTAACTTTCTGCTCACAAGCTCTGTACATGGCCGAGCTTCACATTTCTTACTACAAATACTTGAGCAAGGGTGTCCACATACTCTTGATCTTTGGCATGGTTTACCACAGCTGATTGATTTCGGATCTAAGTGACAGGGCACCTCGACTGTGTGTCCACATGTGGGAATTGACATATTGACTACCACCATGCAGGCATCACACGAACGACCAAAGTGGCACACCTTTTGGCATGCGTGACCTCTTGCGCACTTGGCTTGGCACAACTCCTCACATTTGACTTCTTTGCATTGACGGCCACATACTGACGGGCATTTGTGACCGCAATCCAATCGTCTCTGACAAGGATTGTAACAAAAAGCACTTCTGGGGTCAACACTACAAGGTTCGCTTTGTTGGTGCCCACAGGGAAGTTCTTTAATCACGCTTACGTGGCATAGATCCACTCTACAGTCCTCATAACAGATTCCAGGACACTCATGACCACAGTCCAAAGTTCGTCTGCATCTCTCGATGCACTCGAATGATTCATTTTTCTTGTGGCACAAAACTCGTTTCATATGCTTACACGGTAGTTGAACTATAATTTCCGCGTTACACTGGCATTCGTCTTTACATCTTTTTGTGCAAGGGTGGCCACATTCCAAAACTTTCTTGCAGTCATTATGACATTCTACAGTAGTTGGATCAAGGTGACATGCCACCTCCTTATTGTGCCCACACTGGAGAGTTCTTACACACTTGACTTTGCATTTATCTGTGCAAACCTCCCCGCATTTTTTTCTGCAGTTGTGTCCACATTGAAGCACCTTCTCGCATTTCACTAGACAAGAAAACTTTGCAGGAGCAACACAACATGGTATGGACTGTTCGTGCCCACACTGAGGTACTGTTTTGGTCATACCGTGATAACAATCAGGACAGGGTCTTGGGTGATGACAAACGTCTTCACACTGGTGTTCGTTGGGGCAACTTTTGAAACACACTTTTCGACATTGATCATAATGATACAGGTCTGACGGATGGCAAGGCCTGTCACAAGCATGGCCACATTCAAGACGTTCCCCACACGGCTTCCAGCATCCTCCATACTTCGGAAAGTCCTCTGAGTCTCTCGCAAATTCCACGTTCTTGTGTCTCTGGCAAGTAAGTTCAAGGGTTTCGCCAATTGCACTTTTTGTGTCTAAATCATGGCATATCCCCTCCCACACTTGACACTGGCGTCTTAGCATGTTGAGGTTTCCAATGCAGTAAAATCCTTTGCGTGCTCGTGACAAAGCAACACAAATTCTGTTGGATTCACTAAGGAAACCTATTCGACCCTCTGCATTGCTTCTCACCAATGACAGAAGAATTATGTCATTTTCTTCTCCTTGGAAGTTGTCTACTGCACAAATTTTGATTCCTTCAAATTGATTACGTGGCATTTTTTCTTGAAGAAGAAGTAGCTGGCCGATGTACATGGTTAGAATTGTAATTTGGTAAGGTTTGTAACCTTGCTGTAGAAGATACTTACATAGGGATTTCAAGAAGGTGGCTTCGTGAGGATTAGAGAAACTCTGCAGATTCCCATTTAGGCTCTCGGGTTGACAGTGATCAACAAAGAACATATTCTTCGATACGCCAACTATATCCTCGAATTTGCACACTGTTTCGTGATCCAGTATCTCATGATCGTAAAACCGTTTAGTCAGTGCTGCAATCTCAGGGCGCATGCGATGCTGTATGTTCAGCTGTTTGCAATCCATGCTGTTCACTACCATTCTTTCGAACAAGGAAATTTCTAGGTTGTATTTCTGGGCCAGTTCATAGACTGTTGCTTTCGGGCGTAACTGCTTGTGGTCTCCGATGAGTATAACATGATTTGTATCACGTGATAAAGAAGTGATGATGTGCGCCTCCATAACTTCGGCTGCCTCCTCGATAATAACAATTTTGGGGCCTATTTTTTGGAGCATGGAGTGGTATCTTGCAGCACCACTAGTTGTCATTCCAACAACAGTTGCTTTACGTATGACTTCTTCCTCCTCTTCTGCTCTCACCTCTTCTAACTCCGCACAAAGCTGCTCGTGCTTTCGTTCATATCCTTGGACTTCCATTCTGTGGCGATTACGGTAACATTCCGCCCAGTAAAGGTACAATCGGAGTCTGTCGTCTTCTGATAGGGACCAAATATCCGGCACATTCATGGCTTCTTCATCCGACATCATTTTTAGCTTTTGCAACTTCTTGTTTATTTTGCTTGTGTCTGCTCCAAGATCTATCTTGACTGCTCCTTTTTTCTTTTTCTTTCTTTTTTTACTGGTCGTCTGTGTGCCGAGGCTACTTCTAAATTCAGTACTGTGATCTTTCCTCTGTTCATTCCTCTTTCGTCTGGACGGCTTCATATATGAGACCTCTATCCAACCTTCGCAAGTTTCATTATCATTCTCGTCATCTTCAACTTGACAGTTTTCTTTGTCGGGTAGTTGAATTGCTGATATACATTCTTCTTCGCCTACTAGGCGTCTTTGATTTTGTATCCGCGTTGCTTCATCTTCTCTAGTGGTTGTGGCTTCAAGGCCTTCATGTCGTTCTTCAACTTTTACTTCATCAGAACTCCTTGCCTTCAGTCGCGGGGGTTTATCTGTAACGCACATGTCGAATGGTGCTCGAAAATCATCAGGAACTTGATCACCAACACTTTTATCCTTCTCTTGAAGAATTGATCCATCCACTTCATCAGCATGGTTGTTCTTTGTTGATCCATCTGACGGCTGATTCATATTATTTAACCGAGAGTCATCGCACAGCCACAATTTAAAAGTATTGCGAATATTTTGGCACTCGATTGTTGCGTTTGGTGGAAACAAAGAGCCATAAAGTTGGTCCACATGAAGCGAGTTCATGCCGTCTTCCAAAACTCTGAACTCCAGAAGGTCTATGTCAGCTTTACGAATTGTTTTCTTGACATTTTCCATTTCACTTAAATTGTCTTTTAATTTCCAATGAATGAAGCCTCGTTTGCCACGTCGTCTGTTATCCTTTACGAATAGTTTCAAATTGCAACCTTCAAGACTTTGGCTTTTGGATCTTCCCCCAACTCGAATTATCGCGCCTTTCTCCCGGTTAAATTCTAGCACTTTTTCAAGGAACTGATCCAGAGCGTGATTGGTGAAGCAGACCATCAACATCGGGGATGCTTTCTCAGGATCCCATTGTTTCCGGTTCTCAAGAAGGCATCTTGCGATCTTGGCTCCAACATAGGTCTTCCCTGTTCCGGGAGGCCCTTGAATTACGGAGAACTCGGTAGTAACTCCTGCTCTTAGCGCTTCAAGCTGAGAAATGTTAAGAGGAAGTTTCTCAGCGGATGGCCAAGCTTCGGGCTCGAGCACAGGTACCTTCTGTAACCCTACTGCATGACTTACAGCAAGGGCTTTCGTGAGATCGTAACATACGGGATCCTGGTTGCTATCGCGTCTGAGATACTTTGGTGGGTCCACCTCGGCACTGCATCCAACCAAGTACTTTGGAAAAGGCATGCTGTTTTCGTTTAGTTCTTGAAGTCCCTTGAGCACATAATAATACGCCTCAAAATACGCAGGAGACTCAGCCATCTGGTACCGCTCTTGACGCTTTTCGATATCAAAAACATTTTGATCTTCGACGAATCGGATATCAAATTTACCTTCATCCACATCCTTTGGATCTCGATTGGCAACCGTGGCAAAGAGCATGGTATGGAAGTTGTCTTTCGAAAGGCAAACGAATGAACCAAAAATGAGCCGTTTTGAGTGAGCCAATAATGCCTTGGCAAACTTGGAATTCTCAAGTTGAACTTTGTAAATAACGCCAGAGAGAGTGAAATTCTTTCCAACAACGCGAACTCCTTGGTAGCATTTCATTGACTGATTGCGCCGTCCTCTAGGGACGTTGTGGGTAATCTCATAAATTCCTTCCCTTAACGGCTCGAGAAAATCCTCTCTTAGCAACCGAAATTGTACATCGAGGTAGTGTCCAACATCGTCATATCTTCCCTTTGAAATGTTCTTACGCAGGAAAGGTCGCTCTTGAGAAGTAATTTCTTTGTTTGTTGGACAAATCGGCAAATCCCTGAAGTCATTAGGCGGCTTTTGTCCAATCACGTTTGTGTAACGTTGTCCTCGCTTTTGTCTCTCAGCTATAATGATATTATCTCTGTATTGTTTAAAGACCTCAAGCTCCTTCTCAAGTTCCTCTTTTCTGTCAAAGCTTGTTTCATCTAAGGCTCGTTTCAATTGTTCATAGGGCAGGTCAGCATAAGAACTGGGGAAAGGCGTCAAAAACTGTGTGAATATTTTGATCAGGTATTGAATAAGTGTTCTTCGGGATTCTTGGTTATTTAAGGTTTCTGAGTCTTGAATACGATCTAGCAGGCATGGAATCTTTGATCTCAAAAAAATAGAACCTTTAAGCGCCGTGAAAATTTTGATCACGTTCTCGTTAATTGGCTTTAGGCATACTCTCTCTAATATGCAGGTAAGATCAAAGATGAATTCATCTCTGTTGTGCTGCTCCTCTTCCGACTGTAGAAAATATTTAAAGCGAGGCATACTCTCATTTAATATTTGTACGATATCGGTACCTTCCTTCTCTTTTAATATTTTCAAGTTCAAAATACTTTTCTCTGGTAAAACGCCTCTCAAAGGCGCCTGTGCTTTCTCCTGTGACGAGGAAAGGACAGTCTTATTTCCTGGAAAAGGTGTTCTTCCCTGTTGCGCTCGTGTTTGACCTGTATTACAAGGCAATGTGTTTCAAAATAAGTTGATCGTTGGGCGTTTGAATTTCTCAAAATCAGCGGAGAAATGGGTAACTCTATCGGAAATCAGCACAAGCTTACAGTTAATGTTGTAAACGTAGCTTAATCATACTAATAGGTTTCAAAGAGCATGTTAGAAGGTCTTTGCTTATTTTTTTACGACACATTTTTCTCCTTTCTCCTTTTGATGCACATCGTGCGCATTTTTGTCTCCGGTTATTTAATAATCCTTCTCTCAACAACCCTCGTTGCTGCGCAGCTTCGAGGGACAAAGACATGTACTGGATAGGAGTGGAAATAGTTATCAAATGCCGATGGGATCGTATTGCAAGCTTTGGTTAAAAGTATGTGAGCAAGCGTTCAATCTAAATTTTTTTTTAAATCAAAACCTTAACAAGTAATTATAGCCTAGAATTCCAACTTAACCATTACCTGAACGTTTTCCGTTGTCAAATGATGGTGACACCACGCACCGTGATGAGTCTCCGTAAACTTGTCTCCTTTGTTTATTAACGTTGTCATCTACGAAAGAATGTTGTTTTAGAAAGACAATTATCCAGTAGATTTGATATTTGTAGTAGAAATTGCCCACGAACGTAGAGGACTAAACACTACTAAAGACATCGAAGTTCAGGAGTAAATGGCCGCTTCGTTTGGTTCATTAGCGATTGATTACAGACCCTAAGGAACGAATTTGGAAATGGGAGGGGCGGGTGGGGTGTACGTTCTCCCCTTGCTCCTTTTTCCTACGGGAATGGATAATGACTAATATGATAACTAATATAATGATTTGTACCCTTAATTACCTTGATATCTAAAGATCTCGAGAGGCCACTCACCTCGAGTATTGCGCTCAATCAGTGCGTTGTCTACTGAGCTTCCACTTGCCTTTTGAGGGGCTGGCCTTTCTTCTTGCGGTGTTGTTTTCTTCTCTGCACCCGTCTGACTTGATTCAGTCGTAGCTTCAGTATCTAAAATTATTCCGTTAAATTCAAAATTTATCCTTACGGTGAGATATTGACAGGATATCATTACAGTCCCTTTCTGAGTGACTCGTTTTCAGAGATGTTAAATGACACGAGTCTCTAAACCTTGAAACCAGCTCAGGGGCTGTCAAGCTCTTTTCAGAGCATCCATAGCAAGTTAAAAGTACGCACTTTGGAAGACCCTGAGGGTATTATCGCTCACTTAGCTCTTTATTTGAGTATCTCAAGGAAATGGTCCTTGAAGCCTACAAAACTCAGGAGGACCAAAATCCATTTAACTAAGAAATTGTCTAAAACTTATTAAGATGTTAAGAATGGTCTATGCAACTTGTATGTTAGACTTATTGAGGTGTTAAGAATGTTCTATGCAACTAAGATGTTGGACATGAGGAATAACAAGCATATAGGAGAAACAACAGCTAACATAAAAAAAATCAAATATCATGTAGTCAGTCAAACGTATCAAACTCTTTTTTAAGGGCGTTTGATTAAAGATCACAAAGGCGAACTCCTTGAAAAATTTTGTGAGCAGGCCCTTAAGTAATAACAATAAATTTCACAATCGGGTCCTTGATTGAAAGATAGATGGACAAATAAAAATGGCAAGAGAAGCTTAAAATCTGTGGGGTCCAACAGGTTTCCAAGTGGATAACGACTACTAATTTGTGAGCACAGTAGATACTTTTATCTGTTTACAGAATTTGAGCAACGCCATGTTCGGACTAAACTATTGAGGCACTACGAATTTGCATTTCTCGAATTGCATTGCACTCATGCAGAATGATTGATTTAATAACTATTTACCGTGCGTGTGGTTCCTCTCGATCTTCATCTCACCTTCCAAGAGTTGCTTCCTCTCAATGCCAACCATGTGAATAACTTGCCGTAGCATTTTACTTGAAGTACTTCTTTTTAATCGGATGAAACTCAAAATTGTATTATTTTGGTACTGCGAACATTTTCCACTCACCTTGAGAGGCTTTTTCTCTGCCCTGGTGTCGTCTGTGTTGTTTATTCTTTCTACCGTCCCAATGCTTTCTTTTAAAGCGGCCTCTGTGGTCTTGTTTGTCTTCTGCAGTTTTATCACCTTGAGTAAGCAGAGCATTCTATTACACCTACTTACAAAGCTTTATGCATTAACCATCTTATTGGTTACTTAATACTAAATCGACAACCTTAGAAGTCTCTGCTGATGAACCATTGGTTTTTTCAGCATTCAATCATAAAAATTGGTGGTGGTGGACGGTTGTATTAATTAGGACGCATCAGAACCTCAAATAGAAATCTCCAGAACAGGGGCATGTTCCATTTCACCGGTAATTTCTAAAAATCATGCTTGCAGATTGATTCATATATTACTTGTGAATTGCGACGGCCAACTTTAATTACAAATTCCAAACTATCCACGAGATAAACTTACAAGAAAGGGAATTAATCTGAAGATTCCCCTGAGACTTTGGAGCGAGGGTGAGTTAGACTGGAATCACGCAGATTACACCAAAGGGTTCCTATTTCGCAGGTACAAATTTAAAGCAAGTTTCTGATTCAGATGTAACCCAAGTTAATCAGACGAAAGTGAAAACGACCAAAAGGCACTAGACCGTATGCAAGCTAAGTAACCGAAAGTTGTCAGCGACAGCGAGATGACCAGGAAATGAGCCAATGGAACATACATTTTCTTTCCGAAATTCTGTTTGAACATTTTCGTTAAAAAAATCTTAATAAGTTGCCTAATTACATTGCAAATGCTATCTACTGTCTTTAAAGTAAACTAGTGTAAAAGATAATCAAGCTAGTGCTTTAAGATTCTTGAGCAACAAACACTACTCCTATAGTTTCTTAGAATTGAGAGCGGACATTGAGATGATACGAGCCGGGAGATATCAGTTGTTCTTAAGATGGAAAAGCCTTTCTATACCTGGTACTTTATCAGCAGATGTTCCACAGGCACCTCTGCCTAGTTGAGACACCTGAGGACCTTCTGTCTCTGGTGAAGATTTGGCTTGTTCCTCTTCCCTTCTTTTTGAAGTTGCATCAGATTCTGCAATGCAAGCAGCAAGTCACGTTCCAACGAAATTCAATTGTTTGTCATTACAAATGAAAAACGGGCATCCAAGTTGTACAGAGGACTATTAAAACGTTCCTATATCTCTCCTTTTTCAGCCGGAAATAGATACAACTACGAGATTATAGTTAGATAAATTTCTTTTAGCAAAGAGCAGTAAAAACCAGCCAAACATAAATGGGCTATGTCTAACACAGTTCTATTAATAATGGTAATATGACCGAGTGGAGTCCAATTCGTACTTTAATCGTACGAGTGATCATAGTTAGTAGAGGGGACTAACTAAGACGGGTTCGAAGCGGGAGTTCGATTTGTCAGTCACGAGTATAATTACAAACCGAATTGGACGACACGAAGTTCTGTTACCAATCAATCATAACCATTACAATTTCCGAGAAAAAAAAAATACGTTTAGGGAAAATCTAGTAGAGACAATAATTAAAGTGAAACTTCCTTCATTTGGAAAGTTCCTAAGTCTTTTAGGATAAGTAGTTGTTGCTATGGTTATATTAATTAATTCTGTGATTGGTGGATTAGCTAATTGGACTAAGTATGATTGGTTGCTTTAACTGTCCGATTACAATTGTCCGATTACAGCCAACTGTACGGTTACGCTGTCTGATTATAGTATTAAGAAAATAAAGGAGGTAATTCACTAATCACATTAAATGGAATTGTAATAGTTATGATTAATTTCTGAAATATTAATTCATTTTATGAGCTTGAGCAAAGATGAGGGCACAGGAAAAAGATACCCAGACTTAACTAAATCTGAATAGTCCCTTTTACAGTCGTGGGCTTGGTGGCCAAGCCTTTGAACAGGAGTGAGGCTAAGGGTGACCCTGTTGTGATAGACACCTGTATCTAGTTAGCATGATCACAAAGTAATTTGCATTTGAAAAGCAGCAACATCTCTATCATAACAAGCTCACCCTAAGCCTCACTCCTGTTCAAAGGCTTGGCCACCAAGCCCACAACTGTAAAAAGGACTATGAAAATAGGTGGAGGAAGGAGTTGGGAGCCGGGAGGTTCGAACTCGGCGAGTGGGTCGGTTCTGAACACAAAAAGAAAGAAAACGAGGGACATGCCTCTAAATGGTGCCAATGCCATGCAGTCTTACCCAATGAACTTTCAATTGTTATTTTAATCGCCCTAAAAATAAAATAACAACTCCAAAAAATTTTCTTAAGAGTAGTTAAAGAAAAGTAGTGAATCTAAATAGTAAAGAGACAACATTAAACACATCCACAGAATTATTAAATGTTACGGGGGATGAGTAATAACGGAGATTCCCCCTTAAGCTTAAACCCCCGGCCATGAACTACTTAATAATGGTCAATAATGATAAGCCGGGTATTTACATCAGTCATGGTGTGAAATATTTTATAATACCTTCGGTTTCTTCCCGCTTTCGTTCTCGTCTGTCGAAGTTTTTCGCCCATTTTTTTTTGTTCGAGGGCATGGTGCTGAAAGAGGAGTGATGTATCACAATTGAGCCGTTTTAGTACCTCACCACATTTACAAAGCTAACCCCTACAACTAAACCTTACCCATCATGTTGCAGGAGCAGTCTATTCGCATTGAACTGTTTCAACTGTGGAGTAAAACTAGTGGAAAATAGATAATACCTGACGAGTCTAAAACAATTTGTCGAGTTTTAAAACACGAGACAGCTCTGAAATGTCATTATGGTCACTTGAAGCTTGAACAAAGCGGGGGCGTTTTCGTAAGTCTTCAAAATTTTATAAATTGTACTAGTGTTTCACCCTTGAAGGTCGTTCTTTTGTTGCTGGTACGAACTTTTTCATTGGGTTACGAAAAGCTGGATAGGCAGACCGCGGAGCCTACAAAGCCTTTCGGCATGAAGAAAGAACATTAAAAAAAAAAAAAAAGAAAAGAAAAAATTAAGCAGCTTTCGATTTCTAAATTAACTACCTTGACGTTTTTCCAGAAAACCTTCGCTTATGCAGATTGTGATTATAAATACAATCCACGCTCGCAGGATGGGGGCGACCAACTGGAACGAGTTATGAGGCATGATGTGACGGCACGGTCTAATCACAGGGAGCCCATACAATCTGTTTGTGTAGCCGATTGTTAATTTATAGTGAATATACCAGATTTACCGTCTTCCTCACCTATAGCGATATATTGCTAACTATGTACATAAATCAATGAGAAATAAACGTTGAATTACCTTACTTATGGTGTATAGTCGTCCTTTTGCCTCAAAAATTATTTTTTTAGCGATTTTGAATAAGTTTGAGGTCGTCGTTAATGTAACTCATAACAGAAGGACAAGTGTGGAAAACTTGTTTTGAGAGGGTTCAAGCGCCCGAGCGATTTTTCCTCCGAAAATATTGCATCGCTCCGCTTTCAAACTTCGCAGCGTTAAGGTCAAAAGATTCACGATTTTCCTCGTACCTTCCAGTCAAAAATGCATCCAAACGGACCGGAGCTAGTCCTCGAAGAAAATCAAAATTCCACGGTATTAGAGCGTCTGGGATGCCTAGCAAGATTCTCATGTGCCAGCCAGACACCGTCACGCTGATTACCCTTTTCTGATTGGACAACGTTAAACGATGACTAAACGCCAATGGTTCCCCACCCTCGTTCGATATTTTGAATTGGTCATCGTTTAACGCCGTCCAATCAGAAAAGGGCAATCAGCGTGACGGTTTCTGGCTGGCACATGAGAATCTTGCCAGGCATCCCAGACGCTCTAATACTGTGGCATTTTGATTTTTTTCGAGGACTAGCTGCGGTCCGTTTGGATGGATTTTCGATTGGAAAGTACGAGGAGAATCGTGAATCTTTTGACCTTAATGCTGCGAAGCCAGCGGAGCAATGCAATTTTCGGGGGAAAAATCGCTAGGGCGCTTGAACCCTTTCAAAACAAGGTTTCCACCCTTGTCCTTCTTTTGTAAGTTACATTAACGACGAACTCAAACTTGTTCAAAATCGCTCAAAAAATCATTTTTGAGGCAAAAGGACGACTATACACCACAGGTATGGTAATTCAACGTTCATTTCTCATTGATTTACATAAATAGTCAGCAATATATCGCTATAGGTGAGGCAAACGGTAAATCTGTTACATTTACTATAAAATAACAATCGGCACACAAACATATTGTATGGGCTCCCTGTGGTCTAATTGCATTTGCCAATGTGGCAGTGTAGATAGCAATTTCAGAAACTGTGAAGCAGTTTATCGATAAAACAATTGCTAAATGCTTGATTCTATCCAACCATTGAGTTTCTTATCAAGTTTGCCATCGTTAAAAAAAATGTTGGTTTTGTGGTCTCTTCGGTCGTAGGTGACCCACAGAATTTAAGCACATGACTTACTTCAATTTCAGGCGCCATCTTAGTTTTAGAGTATACTTACGAAAGGTTGATTATAGGCAAAGCATCAACCATGAAATAATGACGATTTTCTTTTCTTTCTTAGAAAGGTGTTTCAGCGGAAACCATTTATACAAGTTTTTCAACAGAAAACATAAAGGATTATGTGACAACTGACTGAATGATACAGCGAATATTGTACGAGTTAACAAGGGTGATGTAAAAAAATTGAAAAGCAGTAATATAATGCAGTGTATTACTTTTTGCATCGTTCATCGCCAGACCGTTATTTTATTTATGTAATCTATCAAGGTTCGTTTCCGTGATGAGCGTGGAAAGCAATTTATTTGACCAAATACGTTTTAAACAACAAACATATGAAATACATATATATGAACTGCGGTTATGAAACGTATATTTGCACGATCCTTCGCAGTAAAGCACTATTTAAGCAATAGTGAAAATTAGACCTGAATAAGTTTGAATAAGTTTGAGTTCGTCGTTAATGTAACTTATAAAAGAAGGACAAGTGTGGAAAACTTGTTTTGAAAGGGTTCAAGCGCCCGAGCGATTTTTCCCCCGAAAATATTGCATCGCTCCGCTTTCAAACTTCGCAGCGTTAAGGTCAAAAGATTCACGATTTTCCTCGTACCTTCGTTCCCTCGTTCCTTTTCCTCGTTTCCTACCTTCGTACCCTCGTTCCTTTTCCTCCTTTCCTTTTCAGGTCTGATTTTCACTATTGCTTAAATAGTGCTTTACTGCGAAGGATCGTGCACATATACAAATACGTTTTATCGTTCGAGCGATTTCAAGGTTGTCAACAACCGTTGGCTGATTGGGCTGCTTCGGTTTATTGCTCTTAACAAAACGACCGTCAGCTCCCAATGTTCAGAGTTGCACAGTGTTGCATCCTTTATCCCAAAGATCTGGTTTACCACGATACATAGATTCAGTTGGTTTTGATTAAGAAAGGAATCGGGAAGAGAAGACAATCGCCCATTCATCAAGCACAAATTTGCTGTCTTAGTATCTATAGCCATTTTCCGACGAACTCACTTGCAGCGCTATTTATGAAATGCATCAAAATTTAACATTCAAAATTCACATAACAATGTTCCTATCAAACTAAAGCAGCCTACTTGTGGCGCCCATTTAGCAAAATAGGAAATGCTAACTTCATCTTCCAACTTTAAGCTTGTGAAGCAGGAATTTTAATTACTTCATAGCTATTAAATTCGCCGATACGAAGCATTTTTCAAATCCATCTGGAATTGGTACGAAGTTTTAATTTGCATTTACAATCTCTATAGTTTGAAATCCAAGATTTTCTAGTAATCTGAAGTAAAAACATTATTATCGGCATATATATTTATCCTGATATAAATGATATAAAAAGTATGACCCCATGTTTATTATTCTTTCTCGGGCATAGTCCAGCTAAGCGGAAATAACTATAGAAGAATACCCATGACTTTCTTGCGAGGGATTTTGAGGCATCAGTTCGAGCATAAATGAAAGTTTTGAAACTCATGATGCTCCAAGTTAATTTGTGAAACACAGTGGAAGAAAAAAATTTAAAAAATGTTGCTTTTTGTATGCAAGTTCTTAGTGGGCCGTTGTGCAATATGACGCAACAGCCATGGATAGTTAATCGAAGTTCTCGCGATCCGATTGTCTTCACTCAGTATGAAAAACAGTCGAAATTATAGCAGATTTGACGACAGCGTTTGCTTAAGGATTGAAAACATGAATCGACCGACAGTAGTCGCTCTTGTGGTTCGACTAATACTTGATTTAATAGATTTGTAATAGAGGGTCTGTTGGGTTCACTTCTGGTTAACCATTCAAGATTCTCGAGTGTTATGATCGGTTTTGAAGGCACTTTCTATAATTTACTATGGTACGTAAACGTTCTATGGTTGTGAATGATTGGTCATTAAGAGCTAATCATGTTTCTCTTCATGACTTACATTTTGCATTCGTCATGCCCGCCATTGTGGGATCATAATCGCTAAAACAATGTATTTTTGTTGTGAACCACACAACGAGTCGTATAAAACTAGTTTGATTTTTATGTAATTGCGATATCAAAATTTCAGTGGCCTGCGAATGGTACTGCCTCTCTTGTAATCTACACAGAAATGTGTGAAATGCAACATTAAAGAGCACAAAAGACATTGTTTTCACTAACCAAGTAATACACCAGCCTTTCCAAGTCTAATCTAGAACCCTGCTTCAGCTTCTTTCACAGGAATACGGTGTTTCGGCATAGCAATATAACTCAGAAACCAATATCTTAAATGATATAGTGAAAACTTGCGAAACCGGAAGATTCTGAGAAAAAATTTTTCGTCTAGCAATTACCGTTTTCTCGGAAAAGGAAAGTAATTAAAATTGGAATGGACTTTGGAGTCAGAGATGTTGAATATTGGAATGCCTTCTGCGTGGTAAAGATAATCTGCCTGAAAAGGCTTACATAGCCAGTCAGGTTATCCCACTTCCCTCGAAGTTCTTTTTTTTTTCTCATCCCGTGTCCCACTTAACCGTGTTACCTGTCATATCCTTGTAATATTGATAAAAGTGGCGTCCCCGTTTGATAGTAAAACAGTTTCTAGCGACGACTTCTAAGCACTTCGGTAGATAGCTTACTGCTGTTTTCCACGATCTAATTTCAAATTTACTTCATTTAACAAAACATCAAATATAAACAATTGAGCAGCGCCGCGTGGGTTTTTTGGATCAATGACGACGAATTCAGAATGACGTTGTTCCACAAGAAACATACGGTAACACACTCTAAACAGGCCACTGCCCAAGTATGCCCTCTCTAACCAGATGTAAACGTGAAGACAAAACAAAGGTCAAGAGAAGCTGTTTTCCCGGAAATGATACCTTCGTGTTTTCGTAGCTATAGAAATGCTTAATTTTAAAAGAAATTTAGAAATTAACATTTTCAAGTTATCTCGTAAAAGCTGACATGGGAAACTTATCGGAATCAACGGGAACTGGGACACTTGGTTACCACTAGGTACCAGTTTAGGATCCCCTGAAACCTTTACTTTGCAGACCAGACCCTAACGCTTTTCTTTTCTTGGCGCCAATATAAAAAATAGCTCAGATCATATTTCACTATCTTTGTCCTTTTTGAAATATTCGTCCTTCTGGCAAATAATAAAAAAAATTCTAGCAAACTTTCTACAATACGTACTGTGGCTCTCTCCAGGTAAGAAGTTGAAAGAGGTTCATAAACTGTAGTCTAGTGACGAAATACGAAAAGTTTTGGTTAAAATCAGATTTTGCTTTTTTCGTAGTTGACAAGAGTTGATACTAAACGTTGGGAATCGCTACAAGCAGGCGTAATAGGTATAAAGATTGTTCAGAAGCTGTTGTCGCTTTTTTTTCCTTTCTCGACAGATAATAAACGTCGATTTGCCAATCTAACTTTTTAATCCCAATTGCAAGATGTAAATAATCGATTTTTCACACTTTCCGCCACACATTTATTTTAATCTCCGCCCCCGGTGTGGAGTCAAGCAATGTCCCCAGTTGATAGATTTTTATTTTCTCATCGCCTTTCCGTGGGAAAAATGTATCGAAATTGCGAGAAAACATTCTTGAATGTTCTTTAGTCCCTCCTGGAACTGGATGGGTTAAGAGAGATCGTCTAACCATTTTCTTTGTCATGAAGTTTCCTGATTGTAGGATTCTTTACTCACTACGATAGTACACATACATGTTTCTTTTGCTGTCATCATTTTTTATCCATCAGTGCACTGTGATGGCTAAAAACATGCCATTGGTCAACTCTCTTAAACTAATAATTTGGTTATATCAACAAAAATGAAATGGTAAATTGGCCACCGTAATGATTACAAAAGCTGACGTTTCGAGCGTTAGCCCTTCGTCGGAGCGAATAGAGGAATTGTGGGTTGTGTGTGCTTTTAAAGGCAGAAAATGGAGCTACGTTATTGGTGGGAGCATGGCAACGAGAAAAACATATAAACAAATAGTTAACTGTTCCATAAGCGCTCTTTGATGCATCCACGAAGGTGTGAACGTTACTCGGTCTTTCTTCTTTTGACTCTCTCAAATTTCTAAGAATTGTGATTTCTTTCGGGATTTCTTCCCCTGAAAACCATTGTTGAGCTCGGATAGGGATCTCTTGAGTAACAGGATAATCCCATTCTATACCCATTGCCCACAAATCTTGAATGAAAAACGACGAAAGCGCAGGAGGACTTCGAACAGATTTGCTTGAAGCTTGAGGTCTGGTAGAATTGGATCATTTAAAGATGTATCTTGAAACTTTTCGCTGGCATCAAACACGATCCTCGTCTTTGTAGTGGACCTCTCGAGACGGCATACGGGAAAGTGAGGGAGGTACCACAAACACTGCGGCTCGTTTTCGGCTTGAGGTACATTACGAATGTAACTTTTCTCGAGGTACTATGCGATAACGTTCTGATAATCCTCTCCCAATGAGGGTTGGCGAGTCAAACGATTCTCCGTATTTCTAAGGCGGCTGAAGGCCATCTCATAGTTATTTGGTAACGCAGGACGTTCATGCTTCTAGGGTGTGACAACTTGGTAACGCTTCCCATCGTGAACAACTGAGACTTGAACTTTATCAAGGGCTATTTTCTCCTCTCTTGTCATCGGTGTTGCGCAATTCTCCTGGATGGCTAAGGCTTCAACTTTGCAGAACCGCTTCGTAGAATTGTTTAGTTCGTCAAATGCTTTCGATCTGCTTAAAAAGGTACAGATCTGTGAATCTTCGTTGACACTTTTCCTTCTGGACAGCCGATACACGACTACCCAACGGCCCTAACCTAGCCATTGGCTCACCTGGTTTTCCTCTGACGTCAGCTTTCGCGAAATGAAGATCAATNATTGATCTTCATTTCGCGAAAGCTGACGTCAGAGGAAAACCAGGTGAGCCAATGGCTAGGTTAGGGCCGTTGGGTAGTCGTGTATCGGCTGTCCAGAAGGAAAAGTGTCAACGAAGATTCACAGATCTGTACCTTTTTAAGCAGATCGAAAGCATTTGACGAACTAAACAATTCTACGAAGCGGTTCTGCAAAGTTGAAGCCTTAGCCATCCAGGAGAATTGCGCAACACCGATGACAAGAGAGGAGAAAATAGCCCTTGATAAAGTTCAAGTCTCAGTTGTTCACGATGGGAAGCGTTACCAAGTTGTCACACCCTAGAAGCATGAACGTCCTGCGTTACCAAATAACTATGAGATGGCCTTCAGCCGCCTTAGAAATACGGAGAATCGTTTGACTCGCCAACCCTCATTGGGAGAGGATTATCAGAACGTTATCGCATAGTACCTCGAGAAAAGTTACATTCGTAATGTACCTCAAGCCGAAAACGAGCCGCAGTGTTTGTGGTACCTCCCTCACTTTCCCGTATGCCGTCTCGAGAGGTCCACTACAAAGACGAGGATCGTGTTTGATGCCAGCGAAAAGTTTCAAGATACATCTTTAAATGATCCAATTCTACCAGACCTCAAGCTTCAAGCAAATCTGTTCGAAGTCCTCCTGCGCTTTCGTCGTTTTTCATTCAAGATTTGTGGGCAATGGGTATAGAATGGGATTATCCTGTTACTCAAGAGATCCCTATCCGAGCTCAACAATGGTTTTCAGGGGAAGAAATCCCGAAAGAAATCACAATTCTTAGAAATTTGAGAGAGTCAAAAGAAGAAAGACCGAGTAACGTTCACACCTTCGTGGATGCATCAAAGAGCGCTTATGGAACAGTTAACTATTTGTTTATATGTTTTTCTCGTTGCCATGCTCCCACCAATAACGTAGCTCCATTTTCTGCCTTTAAAAGCACACACAACCCACAATTCCTCTATTCGCTCCGACGAAGGGCTAACGCTCGAAACGTCAGCTTTTGTAATCATTACGGTGGCCAATTTACCATTTCAACTTTGTTGATATATCCAAATTATTTCGTTACTCCCACCGACGCAGCCCCAAACAGTTTCTTTCGTGGAGACTGAAAACGGGTCTTAATTATGTACGGGCAACAGAGGTATCTACTAGTCTTTTCAAGTCTCGTCTTTGAAAGCTGAAGGAACGGATTTAAGCAGCAGTCCACTTACAATACGTTCTCGGCCTCTCATTAAGGATATCTCACTCTCTGCGTTATCAGAATTATCCTTACCACGCACACTACGTCAGTTGGCCAAAGGAAATTCTCTAGTTCAATATTGTTCAATGTTGTCCAACTTTTTTCCCGCAAGTTATAGAGGTCGTTTAAGTTCAAGATTAGTTGTAAACATTGTGCGACACTACCTTCACCATCAAGACGGTGTTTCAACCAGTGACAAGAAAGTTAATGTTCTTGCGCTTCCGCTGACTTCTGCATATTTTTCATGTTCTCTTCACGCTAGACTGTTTAGGACGGTTTAAAGCGTAATTGTGTTTAAACCGCTGTATTATATTGCACACCTGAACTCAGATTTGCTGAATGTGTTTTACATCATTCTACATCAGTCTCTCAGTTAACTTGTTTCATTGTGACCATCCGCACACCGAGTGCAACCTTCACCCCCTACAGAAATGTCTTTGCCACCTCGCACAATTCTAGTCGTGTAGTACATGTGACCTTGTCCACACAAGTTCCAGACGTCTCTTTGATATCCTGGAAAATTTGCAAAGCTCAGAATTTCTTCAACCTGTAGAATAGGAAGTTTTACCTCGGTTCTTAACACATTGACGATTTTTTCCAACCATTCAAGATCCAGAGAATTATCTTCACCTTGAAGGAACAAAGCAAACCGCTCGCGAGCCAATCTTAGCCGAGTTTCACCCATTCTGGACAAAGGAATCCGTTGCTGCACAGCCTTGCTTTGGGCCTCTAAAACATGACAGAAAAGAAAGATCTTTTTGGTTTGTTGATGAACTTGACTGAGTGTTTTTAAATCCAGTTGTGGTTTCTCAAGGTATTCTTTGATTTGTCCAAAGGAGGCTTCGATGTCTTTTAACAGCCTACCCTCATCAACCTGGTTTTGTGATTCTGCTTGAAGTCTGCGAATGTTTTCTAGCACTGGATGAGCTTGCTGTGCTTGCCTAAGTATCATCAAATGGTTCTTAAATGTGAACATTAAAGAAACGCGGCGCTCTGGCATTCCTGGTAAAGTAAGGGGGTTCCAATTCCATGGAATGCATAGTGGTAGATGGGCGCCCTCTCTTGGAGACAGCAGGACTCTCGGAACAACATAATTTAGACGCAGTAGGTCCTTTCCTATAAGGCTGATTGACTTTCCTACTTCCCTTTCAACTTCTTGCACTTGTATCTTTACATTTTCAATGTTCGTGAGCATCTTTTTGATAATTCTCGCGTAACGATAGCTGAATGTTATTGCTACAGTGCATTTCGGACATCTTGTTATGAGTTGAGCGTCATTATCCAAATGAGAGTCCATCCACTTGTCCATCTCCTTGACCTCTACAATGTGATTGCAATCCCATAGCTGCAAGTATCTTGTTGATTCCATTTTTTTACCGCGTCCATTAGCTAACAAAGAGGAGAACTTTTTAGGATGACAAACGGGACAGACAGTAGGACAGTTCTCACCACATAAACCAATGCACGGGTGGCGGCAAGACAGTTTTTTGGGGCAGGGAGCGTCACATCGAGGTCGGTCGCATTCTTCTCCACAAAGGCTATTACACTGGTAATGAGGACAACTCCAGGTACAGGGTTGTTTGCATGACTTGCACGGCTGCGAACAGTGATTTGTACATCTAGCATGAGGGCATCGTCGGCCACATTTTCTGTCACATGGAGGACAAGGCTCACCGCACTTGGCTTTACATCGATGTGAGCAAACAAGCAATCGACGGCATGAATATTGACACATTTCATGTGAATCCCGTTGATGACAATCGCTACAATTCCCTGAACACTGGTGACCACAAGGCAAATAATCTTTACATGGAGCAGGGCATTCTACATCATCAGCATTCTGGCTACAAGGCATCTTAACGTTATGACCACATGAAAGTTTTTTTACCACAACCACCATACAGGGGTATTTGGAGCAGTCTTGACCGCAAACTCCCTGACAAATATGTTTGCATGAGCTCTTTCGACGCCCACAGCGTGCTGAGCAAGTAGCAGTCTTACTTTTACAGCAACTAATTGCTTCTTCATGATTGCATGGAAAACGTTTTTCTATTCTTCTCATACACTGCATGTTTTCACAGTCTTCAAAGCATAGCCCCGGACATGGGTGGCCGCAATCCAGAGTTTTCTCGCATGGCTTTCGGCATGTTACAGTTGTGGGGTCGTCGCTACAAGCCATTTTCAGAGAGTGGTTACCCGCACAATGAAGATGTTTGAGTATCTTCTTTTGGCATTTGTGTTGATTGCAGTCTTCGAAACATTTACCAGGACATTTATGTTCGCAAACTAAATATTTTGTGCAGTTTTTTGTACAAATGACCCTGGACACATCTTCAGAGCATAGGAAATTCATTTTATGAAATCCGCAAGCCAGAAATTTTGAAACTGTGACGGCACATTTGAAACCAGAGCAATTATCCCCACATTTTCCGGGACAAGGGTGCTTGCATGGAAGAGAGCGTTCACAAGAAACTTCACAAAATGCCTCCTGCTGTTTATCTGAGCACTTCATCTCCTTTTCATGCCCACAGGCTAGTTTTCTCGTTACAGTTGTATAACAGGATTCGTTTCCCGGTTCAATTCTTGCCCTGGCACATGTCACAAGCTTCCTGTGGGAACAGGAAAGAATAATCTCAACTTCCTTCTCGCAGAGATACTCTTCAGGCGTTTTGTAGCACGGAAGCGTTGCTTCATGTCCGCAAGGTAGTTTTCGTTCCATCTTCACCATGCAGGAAATACCTTGCAGGTTGCCGGTTGCAACGGAGCAAACAAGAGACTTTGTATGTCCACACAATAATTTTACTTTGACTTTCTCTTTGCATTCGTACTCGTCAGGACATTTGTGACAAGGAAGTTGTTTTCTATGTTTGCAGGATAATTCTTTCTCGACTATCTCGTTGCACTGTAAATTCTCTGTACCACTCCTTGTAACGTTGCATAACAGGGACTTTTGATGTCCACATGACAGTTGAACTTCAACCCTCTTCTTGCATGGTTGGTTTTCACAGTCTGCACCACAAATATCCAGACAGGGATGTCCACAGGCTTTAAACCTCTCACATGGCCTTTCACAGTTAAGCGTGGCTGTATCTACGTGACAAGGCTTCCAAGTACTGTGTTTGCACTTTGGAATTTCCACATGAACCATTCTCATGCAATCCCCACAAGAAATACCATAATGGCACGGTTTTGGACAAATATGACCACCACCACACTTCTTTAGGCACAATTCTTGACACTGAACCTCTTGGCAGGGACGCCCGCACACAGTTGGACACTTATGTCCGCAATCGAGCTGTCGTTGACAAGGAGCGTAGCAGAAAACAGATGCTGGGTCTTGTGGGCAAGGGACTTTTTTCTCGTGACCACAAGGAAGAGACTTGTTAACCATGGTTCTACATTGCCTTATTCTGCAGTCCTCAAAACAAACACTGGAGCAAGTGTGTCCACAATCCAAAACTCTGTTGCACCTCTCAGTACATTTTGGTGAGGTGTCCTTCATATGGCATAAAAGCTTTTTTCGATGTCCACACTCAAGCACAACTTCAATCTCAGTGGTACATTGACAGGGGTCCATACATCTCATGGAACAAGAATGACCACAGTTCAGAACCTTAGTGCAGATCGTATCACACCAGTTATACACAGTAGGATCTTGATAACACAGAAGCGTTTTTTCATGTCCACAAGGCAGAATCTTCTTGCAGTTTTCTCTACAAGAAAATGTCACCGGGTCGGTGCTGCAGGGAACTGATTGTTCATGACCACATTGAGGAATTGTCTTTAACACCTTGATATGGCATGGGCGACATTTTCTGGGATAATGACACCTGTCTTTACACTGGTGTTCGTTTGGGCACGACGTGAGGCAAAACTTGGTACATTGACAGTTTTCATGAGCCATGTCATAGGCATGGCATGGTCTGTCACAGGCATGACCACATTTGAGTCGGTAGTCACAGGGCATTTTGCAACCTCCGTGAATGTCGAAGTCACTTGAAGAACTAACCTCGGTCTCATGTTTGTGCTTCTTACAAACAATTGGCAGTGACTTCCCGACAGCATTCTTTGTTTGAAGATGATCACAAATTTCCTTCCACAGCTTACACTGGCCTTTCAACAAGCTGAAATTTCCAATGCAGTAAAATCCTTTTCGGGCTCTTGATAATGCAACGCATATTCTGTTTGAATCTCCCAGGAAACCAATCTTACGTTCTGAATTGCTTCTCACCAATGATAGGAGGATGATGTCATTTTCTTCACCTTGAAAATTGTCCACTGCACAGACCCTAATTCCTCCAAAAGTTTTTTTCGGCATCTTTTCTTGAAGAAGTAGCAACTGGCCGGTATACATGGTTAGAAGTGTTATTTGGCTCCGCTGGTATCCGTGAATTATAAGGTATTTGCAGAGGGCAACCAAGAAGTCAGCTTCGTGCGAATTGGAGTAACTTTGTAGCCCACCTTCCAGTTTTTCAGGCTCGCAATGATCAATAAAGAACAGGTTGCATTTTACACCAGCGATGTCTTCAAACTCGCAGACTGATCTATGGTCGACAATCTCGTGATCATATATCCTCTTCGTTAATTCGGCAATCTCAGGACGCATACGATGTTGTATGGCCAGACGCTTACAATCCATACTGTTCATGACCATTCTTTCGAACAGTGATATCTCAAGATTGTATTTTTGGGCTAGTTCGTAGACTGTTGCCTTCGGACGGAGTTGCTTATGGTCTCCTATTAGAATCGTATGCTTTGTGTTGGCCGACAGAGAAGTAATGATGTGGGCTTCCATAACCTCTGCTGCTTCTTCGATGACAACGATTTGGGGAGCAATTCTCTGTAGCACTGAGTGATACCGCGCTGCGCCGCTGGTTGTCATACCAACAACTGTTGCCCGACGCATGACTTCTTTCTCCTCTTCAAATCTGACTCCCTCGAACTGTTGGCAAAGTTGTTCATATTCCTGTTCGCTTCTGATGACTTCTACTCGGTAGCGTTCACGGTAGCTTTCTACCCACGAAAGGTACAGTCGAAGTCGATCTGATGGGGATAGCAACCAGATGTTCTCAATGGTCATCGCTTCATCGTTTGACATCGTCGATACTTTTTCCAGATCCGTTTTTACTGATCCTATGTCTGCTGTTATTGTGACTGTGCTCTTCTTGTTCTTGTTTCTTTTTTTCCTTTTCTTTTTTCTTGAAGGTTTTGTTTGATTAGTATCGTCGGCATTTGTAACGTTTTCCATCTCCTCTTTGGGATGTGCATCCACTGCCTGCTTCCACGCAAAGAGTTTTTTCCCTTTCTTTCTGTAGGTTACCACTTCCCATCCCTCTTCGTGGTCAGGAATTTCGCCTTTATCATCACAGTTTTGACTAAGTTCTCCTGCCTTTTGCGACATTACCTGCAGAAATTCTTCTTCTCCGTGAATGCGTCTTTGATCTTGAATCAAATCAGCTTCCTTCTCTACTGCAATTTTCTCTTCAAAAACGTCTGTTATTTCTTCGGCACTTTCTTTATGGCTATCAGTCAAAGTTTGACGATTCTCAACCTGAGGGTTGTCTTCTCCTTCATTTGATTCCTTCGGTGATTTTAACGCTGGCACATTCTTTGCGTCTGAAATGGCTTGAAAAGCTCCTGATGCAGCCAACGTGCCGCTATTTTGACCTGAAATGCCTTCTCGTATGGTTTCTTTAAGAGGCGTTTCCATGAATTCTCTCAGGCCTGAACTGAAGTCTTTGTTGAACTTGGGATTACCAACTGAGACGTTTGATGCATCAGTCTCATCAGGTTTCTCTAGTGTGGTGTTTCCAGCGGTAGATACTGAGGACAGTGTCGAGCTTCCAGTCTCAACTGTAAGTTGATTGTTGCTGTTACTTTGGTCCAAATCCAGTGACGTTGCCAACGATGTGTAGTCCCAAGAAGCGCTATCATCTTTTCCTCCGTCGTTGTCTGGGAGGACTAATATTTCTTCGGAGATTTTCAGCTCACTTTCCTTGCTCTTTGACTGTTGATTGGATGAGTTCATCTCCATGTTATTGCACAACCACAGTTTGAAAGTGTTGCTCGGAGTTCGGCATTCGCCTGCAGCATTGTGGGGGAAAACGGCATTGTATAGCTGCTCTATGTGCTCTGCGTTCAGTAATTCTTCCAAGTCTTCGAATTCTAAAAGGACTTTGTCAGCTTTTGCAAGCAATTCTCTCCACTGGGTCCTTTCGATATATTTCTTGTCAATTATCTCTCTAAGCTCGTCTCTTCTTGCATACATCTTGTATTTACGAGTAAATAGCTTCAGGTTACACTCTTCAAGTTGTTGACTTTTGCATCTTCCTCCGACACGAATGATTTCCTTCTTGGGGAGAAATTCCAACACTTTCTCGAGGAACTGATCTAAAGCATGATTTGTGTAACACACCATGAGCATTGGCGAAATTCTTTCGGGGTCCCAAGTTTCTCGGTTTTCAAGTAAACATCGCACAATTTTGGCTCCAACATACGTCTTCCCCGTTCCAGGCGGGCCTTGAATTACCGAAAACTCTGTTGTAAGAGCCGTTTTCAAGGCTTCAAGCTGTGAATCGTTAAGGGGAAGCATCTCAACTGAGGGCCACGCTTCAGGCATCAGAATAGGCACCGCACTAACGTTTGCCAACTCCGGTACATCCAAAGCCAAACGAAGATCATAACACACCGAGTGTTGAGTATCCTCGCGCCTCAGATACTCTGGTGGATTGACTTCTTCACTGCATTCGACCAGATATTTCTTGAAGGGCATGGTAACTTCATCCAATTCCTTTAGACCTGTAAGAACATGACGGTACGCTTCAAAGTAAGCGGGTGACTCAACCATTTGATAATCACATTTCCAATTTTCTATTCCAAACACATCTTGCCCCTCAATAAAGCGAATTTCAATTTTTCCTTTCACCAGTTCCCATGGTTCTCGGTTACAGACCGTGGCGAAAAGCATGTTCTCAAAGTTATCTTTAGAAAGACAAAGGAATGAGCCAAAAATAAGACGTTTTGAGTGTGCCCACTTTCTGGTATCGAATTTCGAGGTATCAAATTGTACTTTGTACGTTATTCCAGACGGCGTAAAAGTCTTGTCGACGATTCTTGCTCCCGGGTAACTTCTCATCAACTGTTTCCGCTGTCTTCTTGGTACATTTTGGACAATTTCGGGTATGCCTTCTCTAAGTGGCTCAAGGAAGTCTTCCCTGAGAAGTCGAAATTGCACATCCAGGTAGTGCTCGGCATCGTCATACCTCCCTTTAGTGATATTCTTTCGCAGGAAGGGTCGTTCTTGAGTTCTGATTTCTTTGCTAGTGGGACAAACCGGTATGTCTCTGAAATCGTTAGGTGGCTTTTGCCCTGCCTTGTTGATGTAGCGTTTTCCATGCTTCTGTCTTTCAGCCCTTATGATGTCGTCTCTAGCGTGGTTAAAAGCCTGCAAATCATTTTGGAGTTTATCCTTTCCATCAATGTTGGACTGTTCCAAAGCTCGTTTCAATTGATCGTAAGGCAGATCGGCATAGGAACTCGGCAAGTGCCTCAAATACTTCCCAAACACTACAATCAACCACTGAATAAGTTGTTTTCGAGATTCTTGATCGTGCAAGGTTGTTGACCCCTGTATGCGATCTAACAAACGTGGAATCTTGGAGCTAAAGAAGACTGAGCCTTTAAGGGAGGATAGAATCTTGTTTGTTTTCTCACTTGGTGGTGCGCTGCAAGCATTTGCTAGTGTGTAGGTGAGATCCATGATGAACTCATCACTGTTGTGCTCTTCCTCATCAGACCTCAGAAAATATTTGAGACGGGCCATACTCTCATTTAAGACGCTAACCACCTCAGTGGAATCCATGTCCTTTAATGGTTTCAGCTCCAGGAAATGAAATTGTCCAGCTTGAAACTTACCACGAGTATAGTGTTGTGCCCTGGGCTTTCGATCTCTTCTCACAGGGGTTACTCTTCCTGGCCGTTGTACTTTGAACGTCTCTGTTTGGTAAGAAGTCGGAATTTAAAAGCATTATGTCGGCAAGTTAAAGGTATCAGTTATCCCATCATTTGCAATGCAGGGGGTAACGTGTTTTAATAGAACGAAAATTAAAACACTATGACGAGTTTGGTGCTTAGAAACATCGATTTCGCGAGTACCAAAAGAATTATGACGCCACTTGCTCGAGGCATCACGTTATGGTTAGGAACACATAACTCTCTCTCCCCTAACTGACCTTGATTAACTCCTCCTCTTCCACGAGACGGTACCCTGAATCCTTCATTTTTACTTTCCCAAGGTTTTGATCTGTTCCACCCTCTGTGACCTCGTCCAAAGTTCCTCGAGTTGCCATCTAAAATCAGACGATCACAATCAATTGAAACTTAAAGTATTACAGCGGACTGCTGGTAAAGGACAACCTGAGTAGGTAAAGCTATCGGCAGATATTAAAGAACTCTGCCGTACCCATCAGTCAAAGCAAGTAATAATAACAGCAAAAAAACAAATCAATAAATCAACGGAACGCACTCATAAACTCATGGCAACAACAACAAAAAAAACAAATTGGATGTAGGTAAATTTGTCTCGAGAAACTGCGACATTCTTATGTAACCCTAAGAGGGTTGATTGCAATTGTATACCACGGAAACCATCCGTGTACCTGGTATTTCATCAGCAGTTGCTCCACTTGCACCTGCTCTTTGTTCGGAGGGGTGAGCTCCTGGTGTTTTAGGTAAGGGTGGTCTTTGTTCTGTTTCGTCTGACTCTAAATATGTAAAGAAGTTAAACTGATATTCATAGAAACGTTTAACCTCGTTATGGCTACGAGTAAAGATCTAATTTCCATTTTTAGTTTCTTGTTTGCCTAATTTAGCTTGCAGGTAACAATTCATATATGATTGGATGACAAATGTAAGCCCCTGTAAAAAGGAGTAGGTCGAAGAGCTACCACTTTAATTTGCACTCTTCTCTTATTTACTCTCGGTTACGTTTTGTACGTTACGAAAGAAATATACTGTTTTATACACAAATGTAGTTTTCCAGGAAGAAGAGTTAGTTATATGCCACTTGTGTAGCAATGGTAACTTGTCTCAAGGTATTCTACAAAATAAAAATGTATGTAAATGTATGTATGTGGAATTACACGCGCGCCACTGAAATATTAAACATTGCAAAACGTATTCATGTCCATTTGTTAAATCCTTTTCCCATTTTTTGTCATCCTTTGCAGTACTAATGTTGGTTGATTTGGCTGTGATTCAAATTTCAGCTCTTTGCCACCTGTCACTAATTTATTTGCTAACGGAATGGAAATGGTTCCAGAAGTGAAAGCAGGGTTTGCTTCTGCTTTTCTGAAGGCCATAGCGCTCATTCAACGTGTTCTCTATGAAGATTTAGTAAGAGAGTCATGCGTTCAGTTACCTTTGGAATCTTTCTTACGCCTTCCTTTCTTCCATGGCATGGTGCCTAAGGGAAAAGATTAGCGATTTTTAAAAGTCGTGCAGTTATTGTAAAAACTTTTACAATAATAGCGTGGATTAGAAGTATTAGAATGAAACAATAATGTTCAAGTCATCTGAATAAACACATGAAAGTGAATCAGTTACAAATACTCGACCATATGGGAATAGGTTGGATCTTGACAACTTAATTAAGTGCACTTTTACAAATTCTTTTTTTGTGGGATTAAAATGAGGATCTGTTCGTTCTTGAATAATACTCGAGGATTTTCCTTGTTTAATGCTTCGAATAAATTTGGTCTGAGTGAAATTATCCTCGACATTTGCAGCCTAATATGTTTGAAACCCACGTGAAATTGCGTAGGTATGCTCGTCGATTAAACAACGTTCTCAATTCCAGTTTTTTGATGAATTTTAATTTGTGCTTAGTAAGGCAGCATAGACCTGTTTATCTCTGTTCTTTAGAGATGCAGCTTCGACAGTTATATCAATTTATCTGAAACGTGACCCCTGGTATCTCAGGAGCCCAAATGATAGAATCTTCTGGGCCTGAAGGTGCCAGCACCGCTTTTAGGTGATTCAGTGCACACATTCCGTAGCACTATAAAATTTAGACGGCTTAGGTGGCGTGGCGTATAGACAAACATTCTGTGTTTTCAAAGTTGGAAAATCGTGTGATAGTAAAACCCTCGACGAAAGATCTGTCTAAACACAGACGGAAATACAGAGTAAAATACTCAGTTTGTAATCGAAATTCACAAGGGCACCTTTATGTTCTGACTAGTGAGATATACATTGGCACATCATTTACGTAACAGAACTTAAGCTAATTTGAATGTTAAAAACAATACAAAGACAACAGCTTATTTATAGAAAAATAATGGAGCATGTAGTTTTAGAAGAACTAACAATCACTGCAGCTGATCCGTTTTAAAGGCAAACTCACTTAACTTGTAGATGAACGGGCGAGTTGACGACAAACGCAAAATTTCAACCTGGAATACGTCCTATTGATCGAAAATCATGTTTATTCATTTGATGAAAATTGTAAGGATACCTATGATCGGGAACTTTTCTCCTTTCCATGACACAGACACAGCTGTTCTCCGTAATGCAAATTCGGAAGTTCTAAGCCAAACGGTGAAACCTGAAGAATTAAAGTTGATAATATTCCCTTACCTCACTTAGGTACGCAGCTAAAATCTGAAATTTAACTTCCGGGAACGACAGCTTTAATTTCCACTTGTTCAGATTCTGGTAAACGGGGAAATATCAAAGGTTTCCAGTAGAGAACAGCCGAGGAAATGTTTGCTTTCTCGGATAATAACTTGGCTGCTTAAATTCTCGGAAAATGGTCTGATCTTAATGAGATTCATATCTTTCTGGGAAAAGCTATATGAAAGAACTGGAATGGACAACGGATCGTTGTAGGAATGCGCTTGTTTCATTCTTTCGAGAACAAAAAAGATATTATCTGGTCAAAAGGTGATCAAAATGGATGAATTTAACAAATTTCATCATTTAGTCATTTCAAGTGGAAGTAAGAAGTCAAACTGATATAAATGCTTTGAACAAAGTGATTTTATATTTGGGCTGAGTTATGGCTTCTATGAGGTAGCTAAGAAAGACTGAACGACCGGATAATACTGCTCCCTGTTCGTGGATCCCTGCTATGGACCGGACCCGTGGACCAAGTGACGGACTGGTCCACGAAAACGTTTACTTTTGCACCTCTTAGGTTAACTATTGATATTTTGGTCTCACAAAACAGTTCAGCCAAAGTTGTGAACTGTTTCATGTCTGTAAGGAAAGACGGATAATTTGTGTGGCTGTATTACCACTGTATTACCACTGTATTACCACTTTATCAAGAAATATGCCCATACACACTTGTTGTATAGCCTGCATGTAGCCCTGAATCTTCTTCTGTTTGGCGAAGTTTGTTTTCTCTTCCATTCCGTCAATCCCCTGAAAAATATATTCCCGTGCGATAAATCCGACCGAGGCTTACCCAGACAGCTTTGTTAACATTGACCAATCACACCAAGTTCTGCATTGGTAACCATTCCTGCGAACACTTCCTCTTTTTCCGCGAAACGACAAACAACATAGCTGACATACTTTGTTGTCGACTTATTTCGCTTTCGAAATCGTAAATCTATGCTGATCTTTCCAAAAATTGTTGCCTTTCAACAGGAGATATAATTTGTACCACAGATTGAATATCTCGTGTCATGGATAGAGGTCGTTTTGGTGGAAGAGGAAGCCGTGGTGGTAGAGGAGGTAGAGGAGGCAGAGGAAGAGGTACAGCTCCAAACGCAGGAGAAGGTAGGATCATAACTCGCTTTAAAGAGGAGAATTCCGTCTCATACTAGCCCAGTCTACATAATTATATCTTGTTCAGTAGATCTGAACTTTTGATTACGTGACAACAAATCCCTTTTGGGTTTTCAGAGGGCAATTGTTAAGAAATTTACTCCACTGATCCTAAGCTATTCCCTTGATTCCTGATTAAGATGTGTTTTGCTTATACCAACAAGAATGAATATTGCACGTGCTACATTCATCGTCGATTCAAATGTTAATGCGACAATTCTTTATTGATGTAAGCATTTAGAAGAAGAAAAAAGGTATATCGTGTTAAGCTCATCACGGAACTTTCCAATCGGTTTGATTTAATGTGACAATATTACTTAAAAGAAAGTTTTAGGAACTCATGCATCAATCGATGTCAGCCCTGAATCAAGGAGACCTTGGTTCCAGCAGAAATATTATATTTGGCGTGGCTGTTTTGATTAGGAGACTAAAAACAGGAAGTGGATGGGTCGTGTCTGTGTCTGATATTGTGATATTTCAAATGTGAATTTACATGTAAACATACTTGTGTTTGGTGAATCTTGCAATCAAACAAATACACAGATTGCACACCGATAAAGTGCGCTATGTTCTGCATGTATCTATTCACAATTGAAAAAGGAAGGTTAAAAGCTGAGGTGTCGTTGCTGGAAAAATATTTTGCAATTTCTACTTTGGTCAGTGGTCTAACGAACGAGGACTAAAATTACATACGCAAATTTCAGCCTCAGTGATTTCGATTCACTATGGGACTTCTGAAATTACAAATAGTCCTTCATAAGTTGCTAAAAACCCCAAGACGAGTCAGGTACTTCAATTTTTTTAAAATACATCTCAACTTTAAAGAACTCATGCTCGAAATTTATATCTTGCGTGACAGTTACGTTATTGAATTTGATGCACAACTAAATAAAAAGCTGTGATCTCAATTCACCTCATAGTGAGAAATACTCTACAGGCATGAATAAAAACAACGTTCATTTACCTTGATTTATTTCATCAAGTGTTGCTAACTTTGATTAATGTATCAAGAATTGGAGCTGTAAATTCTCTTTGCACAATCAAAAAGCAGAGCCTCTTAAATTTTTGTTATCCAAGAGATATACAGTTCACAAACATAGCATTGAAATAGTTAATATTATTTTTTTTTTGGATGCATAAAAGCATTAGCAATCAGAACAGAAAGGAACGTTTTCCCAAAGAATAGCTGGTTTATTCTAAAATTTTCTTTGTTAATTATCACCTCTAAGGTTCTTTCGGTGGAGATCGACATCAACAAAGACCACACAGGGGTAGGCAAAGAGGTCCACATCTTGGTTATCGAAAACTGAAAGAGATAAGGTCTATGGAACCATCGGAGATGGCAGTAGCCCTCCTACAGTGTCGCGACAGCTTTGAATTGTTGGTAAACGCTGATGTTATCCAAGAAGATTGGATGACCCTGCTTGTGGAAATCCTGGGCAAAATGTGCAACACTATGATGATCCAGAATCTGATCGAAGTGTTGTCTATCTGCAAGGGATCTGCCCTTATGCACACTCATTTGCCAAATTACATCTTAAGTCTCCCGTTTATACAAGAGGAGATGGATTCAGGTCAATTTTCTGTACTAGTGGAATGCTTGATAACTTTTTTCAAGGAATGGCTTGCCAAACTCCCCAACTCCTGTTACGACGTTCCGATCGATAAACTCAGTGGAGCTCTAAACGAATTTGATTTGAAAGAGGTTGAAGACTACAAGAAAGAGGTGGAAACGCTTATTCTTAAAAGACGCGAGCAAATCGGAAAGGAGCGAAAAATGGAACAAGCAACGAAATGGCCGAAAGTTAAACAAGACGTGGAGCCACCCCCGCCAAATGACTTTAGAGAAATATCCATCTATCCGAGTGAGACTGAAATCAATTCAGAGGAGAGGCCCTTTCTGCGACAAAACAAAACTGTTAAAATGGCGAAGTACAAAGACCTAGATGATTACTTAGATGTACAATTTCGCCTTCTTCGCGAGGATTTTGTCGCCCCGCTGCGCGAGGGAATCAACGAAATAAGGAAGAAGGTTCCGAAGAAAACTGGATCGCAAGACTTGTACATTTACGAAAATGTCGAAATTATGACCACCGTTTGTACAATGGCTGGAATTGTTCATAGAATTCGTCTGGAGATGAAGAACCTCAGAAAGATACCATGGGAGCATTCAAAGCGTTTGCTGTATGGTTCATTCCTCTGCTTATCAAAGGATAATTTTGAAACCATGCTATTTGCGACAGTAGCTAATCGCAAACCAGAAGAACTCCGGACGGGAAGGCTGGACATTCGGTTTTTCGACGGTCTCGAGGGTACACATAGGATGTATGATAAGTATGTAATGGTGGAATCGCCAGCTTATTTTGAAGCCTATCGACCCATTCTGCAACAGCTAAAGCAGATTACCTCTGACACGTTTCCATTTCAAGAGTACTTGGTCCATTGTAACCCCGATGTCAAGCCTCCTCAATACCTCAAATCCGAAAAACAAGTATGGTACGACCTGAGGGAGACTCTCAGTGTGCACGAGGGTGCAGACAAAGTGGCCGTTTGCGATTCTAAGACATGGCCTGACGTCGATGATGTGAAACTCAACGATTCTCAATTTCAAGCGTTGAAGGGTGCCCTAACGGAAGAGTTCTCAGTCATTCAAGGTCCTCCAGGCACAGGTAAAGTCAATTCCATCTCTACCACTCCAAAAAAAGAAAAAAGTAGATAGTGTCTTAACTTCTAAAAGCCTCAAAAGGGCCTGTATTGAGGCTTATTGAGCTGTATTGGCCAACGAAGCAACTTGATCACTAAAATATCCTTCTATAAACTATTAAAGAAGGGAAATTTTAGACCAACCTCACGCGTGTTTCCCTAAAACATGCTGGAGTTTTTAAAGCCGCAAGAATCGTTTAAACAATAATGGTGATTACAATGGTGATCTATTTTTCTATAACTTTCCTTATGAGTTACTTTAAAATACTTCAAACTCCTTCATCTGTCTTCGGGGAACTAGCACTGTGAAAGTGTGCCTCAGAGCAGCATGACATAGTGACCTCAGCCAAAGCTCACCAGCTGGTCACCCACCTGTCAAGGCGCTGATCAATAGCACATCTAGTAATTTTCTTCTATATTTAAGTTCTGTTTTTTCATCTTTTAATTGTTTCTTTACCCTGTTTCCTCTAGGTAAGACATACGTCGGTTTAAAGGTTGTGAGAGCACTTTTAGACAATAGGCATGCCTGGGACGAGGAGAAGAAGTCCACCATGTTGATGGTTTGTTACACAAACCACGCCCTGGACCAGTTTCTAGAAGGGGTACTAAAATTTCAACAAACGGGAGTGATAAGAGTTGGAGGTCGAAGTTCTTCAGAGTTACTTAAAGCCTACAACTTACAAGAACACACAAAGCCTTCCGACAGCAAGCGCTGGGTCAAGCAAGAAATGTTTAAATGTCAAGAGGCCATACAAAGAGCACGTAACAGACTGGCGCGCAGTAAGCGAAACATCCTCAGCCTGACAGACCTGCAAAGCTCTGTCGCCCAGAAACACCTCAACCAATTTAAAGCAAAAGAGAGCATTTTAAACTTGCAAGGAAAATCAGTCCTTGAAAGCTGGCTTGGTCTGGAACAAAACACTGTGGCGATGAGGAGTTCATTGAATGAGACTCAGACCGCTGAATCCGTTGCCAAGCAAAGTAGTTCCAATGAAGAAGCGAAGGAAGCAATAGAAGGTAGCATCGAAGTAGACAGAGAAGCTGAAATTATTCAAAACCAGCGCTTGCTTGGTGAGAATCAGTTCCAACTCCTAAAAATCCAGGACAACACTGGACAAGAGAAACAGTGCCCCACCAATCTCTCGAGAGATCATTTGAAAGTTCTTGCAGGAGAATCCAAGCTTCAACCCCTCACTGTGACCCAACTTTCCAAGATTGATGATGTTTGGATCCTCCCCTTCGAGGACCGCTGGAAGCTGTATTTGTTTTGGCTCAGATTGTTTCAATCCAACTGTCAAGAGGAAATTTCAAAGAAGAATAAGCAGTACGAGAACATCTGCAAACGCTTAACAGAGATTAAAATCCAAGGAGAACTGCACGCCTTGAAAGATGCTGTAGTGATTGGAATGACCACAACTGGTGCAGCAAAGTACCGCGCCCTGCTGGAAGAGATTAAACCGACACTAGTCGTCGTTGAAGAAGCAGCAGAAGTCCTCGAAGCTCATATCATAACGTCCTTGACGAAGAACACCCAACATTTGATTTTAATTGGTGATCACCAGCAGCTGAGACCAAACCCGTCCGTATACACTCTAGCGAAAGTCTATCATCTTGATGTGTC